ACACACACACACACACACACACACACACGCTTGGTGTTTATTTCTACATGACCATCTGGAAGATTACCCACAATGCACCTTATACTCCAGCAGGGAGGTTATGTTTTCATCCCTGTCTGTTTGTTTGTTTGTCTGTTTGTGGGACAGATTATGCAAAAAATGAAGTAAATAAATTGAAACTTGGTGTAAGGATGTAAAATAAGAACCCATCGGTAGATCCAGGATTGTTTCAGTTTCTTAACATTGTCGTAATTTTCACTGATACAAAAAATCAGGTATATTTAAGGGACTCATATTTATGAGTGTGTGCAGTTTGGTGCTTAATTTAATGTAAGGAGGCTGTTGGGTCTTGGTGGAGGTAGTTTTCTCATTTTTTATGTTTTTATGATGCTGAAGAATTCCTGCAGAAGAATCGTATCCTGAAGTCTCAGTCTGTTGTCAACTGCATTTTCTATGTGAGGCGAGTGTTCCTGACAGCGCTGATCTGATTCGTTGTGTCCCTGTGACGCCTTTTTGCTCCTCTGTCAGTGTGAATGCTTCTCTGAACTCATCAGTCCTGACTATGGTGCTGCACACACACACACACACACACACAAAGTGTGAAAAAGAGTGAGATATGATTGTGTTTGTGATAATTCAAATCTGAATTATGCAACACATTAAGATGGCTATGAGCAGCTAAAGCCATGTATGTATCATGAGTTTACAGCTGCAACACATGACCTAGATTCATCTAAAACAAACACTCCTGAGCTCCATGTTAGCTTTGCACCCAGATAACGCTGGGACCGGACGGATCTTACCTTCCAGTGCAGTGGTTTAAGATCACCGGCACGTGAAACCATATAAAAGACCAAGAAACTCAACACGAACGCAGGGAAACATTACAGCTGACAGTGATAATGGGATCTGGTTCAGTCTGTCCCACTTGATCTGATCTAGGTTCAACTGAAGGTTTACACATCTTACACAATTAAATAAATCAATCATTTAAATTTTGAGTGAAAACTGTGAGGGTGTCAGGTGGAGAAAAGTTAATTTTCATCATTTAGACTTTAGTCAAACAACTAAAACTTCTCCTGCAAAGTCACCACCAAGTTCCCTAATTTGAGATCAACAAGCTGCCCTTTGATAAGTGCATGAAGCATCTATTATTCAGACTTTTTTTTCTAATAGTTGAATTTCTTTTATTCTGGTCGAAATGCAGCTCAATGTGAAAACAGACATGATGTGTCACAATCTCCTCCTCTAAGCTCTGTGTGAACTGTGATCAGGTTTGATAGCATGCTGGCGTAGAGGGGTGGCGCATCTCGCCTCTGCCTCACTGACCTGAATCTGCCTGTCAGTGACCACAGCTCCATGGCAACAGTGCAGTGGTAACGAGAATGGCTTTAAAAAGAGAAGAGAAGACGTGGAGATGAGGGGAGGAGGAGAGAGGAGCTTCACTGATCGACGTGGAAATCAGACATGATTTCACACAGTGAACGAGAGGTTGACAGGAAGTTGATTCGTGAGACTGATGACAAGAAAGTTTAAGAAATGTGTGAGGTTTCCCACTAAGTCTCTGAAAAGTTTCATAACCTGCTGCCATGTTTAACTTCACACCAGAGCAGAACAGTCCTCCAGAACTGCAAGGTTCAGTGGGTAATATGAGCTGAGTTTATTCTCACACGCCGGTTATTTTGATCTCAAATCGAAAAAACCTCACAGGCCAGATCACACGGTCATGTTTGACAGCTGACACAAAAAATATGTCTAGCCACCATGAATCGTTTTTACAGAACTCAGGAAATGTCGGTTAAGGCTGTGAAACAGCGAGTGACAGACTCGACAGGCAGATCATCATTCAACACTAACCACAGCTCTGCAGCTGTGAGCCGATCTGTTTCAAGTACGACTTAAGAGGATAAACAAAAAGATGAGAAGCAATTTGACGATTAGCCCAAAAATGATACCGTGATAAAAAATCTCTCATATCAGTGGACGTTGACAACCGCGATAAATGTCAAATTGTAATCTTTTAAATAAAGTTTAAAGATTTTTGCTGCTGAATGAATGTTGCGGTTTGAAACTCTTCTTTATGAGCAGAGAGAGAGCAACACTTCAAAACATTTTACAAATCTCAGGTAGAAAATGTTTTGTGTTCGACACTTTAGTTATATTCCTATTGATGAAAATGATATAGCTTTAATTACTGATATTGTTTTAGTGCCCAGTTATTCATCATCCAAACAGGCTCATCACATTGTCCCAGCGCTCACTGTGATGTTTTCAAAAGCTTATTTTCTCATAAATATTCACTCTGCAAAATAAAATCAGAGTAAAACTGGTTTCCTCAGAAGATGGAAAAAACATTTCTGCATCATTTAAACACGAATAATCAATTTTTTCAAGTCTCTGTTGGATCATTTCCTGTCAGCTGTTGAGTATTTAGCTCGGAGGCAGATTAAGATTCTCTTAAGAACATAAGTTCAGATCAAATTAGTCGACTGCGTGAGGAGAAAGCCTGTTCTGTCTGCAAATCTTAATCACTCTCAGCCACTTGCTTTGATTACCAGATGAACTTCAAGTATATTTGAAAGTGACTTTCCTCAGAATGTTTCCTCTCCTGTGAGACTGACACAGCAGCGAGCAGCTTCAAACAACAACCACTGAGTGAAAAACATGAAGTTTGACAAAAGCATCGTGCCACTTAGAGAGGGAATCAATTTCAGCTGCTTGAGAAAGAGCAGCAGGACAAAAACAAAACTGAGACGGAGGAGCCACAGAACAACACCAGGGCCTCGAAGAGCTCAGGTTGTTGTTGTCGAATCTGACGACGTGGCAGAGTCGTCAAGTGACAGCAGAGCTACACTTTTAAACCGGGGAGCGGACAAAAGACATGAAGAAGAGTTGGGGAGAACAGAGATGCATGTTCCGCTGGCTGTAACCAGGGGAAGATGCTTCATGTTGCCGTAGTGATTCAAGCATGTGTCTATGTTGCTGTGGTGATTCACACATGCCTCCTCTTCCCTCCAGTGATGACGTTGTGATATTGGAGATGGAGAGTTTCCGACGCCATAATAAAGTCCGGCGTGGGAGACAGAATGATTGTGATGATCCTGTCGTGTCACTGCTCAGCTGGACAACGATCCTCGCAGAGACTCATCACAATAACACGAGTCCAGCTTTAGTTACTCTCCTGTTCTCCTGCTAATAAAATCGGGGGCTGATGCTTAAAAAGAGGATAAGAAGAAAATAAAATGTCTGAAACGAAAATTTTTCAAACCACATAAAATATAAGATTAAACCCGTCGAGCTCTACTGGTTCAATAAAAGTTCCACTTCATAGTGAGCTGTTCTCTGACTTAGTACATCATAAACCTCTTGAATAATCTTGAGCTATGTAAAAAATGTTTGCAATCCGATTAATAAATCCATGATTTGAGTGAGGGCATCTTTCTATTGTCACCTCACAACCACAAGTGGAAACATGTCCAGTCTGGTGATGAATAAAGAAAAATGTGACTTTGTACTGTGAATGTTAAAAGTTCAAACATATTTGAAGAGAACTGGAAAAAAGACCAGACACTGAGTCTAATATAACCTTGTTGTGTAAGTAAAGTATTGTGGCCTTTAAATAGTCGGACTCCACCTGTTTCCTAACTGCTGCTTTAAGACCTGAGATGCACATAAGAGCTTCCTGTCTGCTGCTGCCTCCCCGCGTGTTTCACTATGAGAGGCTTGATAATGATTTTATATAGAGAGTAGTTTTTAAAAATCCAGATTACAAAGTGCTTCAGAAGTTAGAACAAAGAAACTGAGATTTAAAAGACAGTAGTTATAAATGTTAAAAAAGGGGGAATTTTATATATTATTATTTTTACCTATAGCAAAGGTTTGTCATATAGTTACTTTTACTTTTCATACGTTGACAGTATCTTAGACTTTTAAGTATAACCTATATACAAGTATTTTATATTGTCTATTTCTGTCCTTGCTTAAGGTAAAACTCTACATCAGTCCTTATGTAACACCACTGCACTCTCCTGTTTCCTGCAAGGATTATTTTGGGTCCCTCTCCACCTGACTGCAGAGTAACACAACAACATAGAGCTACAGAAACATTTCCAGGCTGGATGAGGCACACGTCAGCTTTCTCTCCTCAGCCACACTGAACCAGACGAGAACTCCTGCAAAGAAACGTTTTTGAATCGTGACCCCTGACTCACCCCAGCCCCTCACTCTGCACCTTCCTCCAAATAACATCACCCTGAGGTGAAGTGAAGCCAAGATGCCAGAACAGAGGATAATGTGATTAAAGAGGATAAAGCGTAGTGCATGTTCAGCAGTTACCTGACACCTGGATGCACTTTCTCCAAGGTGTAATTTCAAGAAAGCACCTGAAACATCCTCATGACTGTGTGTTGACCTTATTTACCTGCAGACTCCAGGTCACAGACACACACTCAAGGTCCCTGCACGTCTGAGTTTTGAAAAAGGAAAAGGTTTTTGGGGACAATATCTCTACCGATTGGGGAATCAAATAAATTGTGCATCACCGATAAGATTTAAAAAGTTGCACATCAAAATCCTGCACTTTATATATCCAACAAATCTAAAGCTTTTCATATTTAAAACAAAAGCATTAATATTTAGCAGAATTTTTGACAGAGTTATTTTTCCATTTTGTCCTCAATTACTTTTTGGACTCGATTGAAGGATTATGTAAATCTTAACTTTTATTACACAAATATGAGGATTAGAATCCTAATGATTACATATGGTAAATTTAAAAATACCCCTTTTATTGTACTATTTTACACCTTTGTATCTACTTTACTTCTATCACCACCTCTTTTATTTTGCTTGATAAATTATTTAAACTTTTCAGATTTTTAATCGATTTCTTTTCATTTTGTGTTGTTCTTATGTCCATGCTGAAATGTGCTATAGAAATAAAACTGCATGATTTACCTTGTTGCACAAAATAATATATAATATAATATTGTATCAAGACTCTACAACTTATATAGACACTTGAAAAGTAACAAAACTGTCCAAATATACAAATAACTTTTTCAGTGAGACTGGAAACTGTTTCCAACTTTGTTTCTTGTCTTTACTAACCTTTATATTTATGTTAAATATGTTTTTGACAACAAAAACAGACAGAAGTAACCGGGGTGTGTTATTGGGCCTTTGACACACATAAAGGGACGTGGCGGTGACTCTCGATGGGTCTGTCTGTGAGATCTCAGCACCTTTGTCCTCCTCCCTCTCATCCACACTGAACTTACTCTCTGTGATCCTCTGCAGACCCAGCACATCCTCCGGGGTGATCACCGCGCTGGCCAGCAGGTCCTCCTCCGTGGTCATCGGGACCCCCACGTCGGTCGAGTTGCATCCCTTCTTCACCCTCATCGCCGCCGTGCACCTCGGGCTGCCGTCGCCGCCGCTGTCCGTGTCTCCGCCGGCGTCTCTGGCCGGATTATCAGCGGCAGGCTTCTTGGCGCTCGATGGGTCCTGGCTGTTGCCCCTGCTGGTGCAAGAATAGCTCATTCTCCGCTCCTCCTCCCCCCTCTCTCTCCCTATGATCCAAAACAGTTGCCTCACTCCCTCCCTCCCTCCCTCCCTGAAGGATGCACAGTTGCTGTCTGTTATCTGGTGCTTAATTCAAATCCGCTTCGTCTTTATGAGCCTGTCTCCTCTGCAGACGCGCTGCATGATAACCTCCCCTCCTCTCCCCTCTCCTCCCCTCCTCCTCTCCTCTCTTGTCCTCTCCTCTCCTCCTTGGACCGTTACGCACAGCTCCTCTGCCTCAGATGGAGTCCATGTTGTGTGAAGAGGAGCAGGGGGTGTGTGGGAAAACGGTCTGCTCGGTTTGAAATAAAAAACAAAACAAGCGGCAGATGGTGGTTGATGCCCGGGAGGAGGGGGACGCGTCTGAGCGCCAGCCTTCCAGCACCAGACGCACCGTGCGGAGAGCGTCTGGTGCTTCTGCGCAATCTGAATCTACAAGTGACGGAAGTGAACAATAAGATGATCCAACTGTTCGTTCATTCATAACAATGTGTGTGTTACTTATGTAGCGGGGAACTAAATCTAAATCTGCTGGAGTCACATCATGGGAAAGGTTTAGGTTGAGGAAAGAGTTAAGGTTGTGATTGGGTAAGGGTTAGGTTTGGGTTAGGCAAGTAACAGTGTGTGTGTGTGTGTGTGTGTGTGTGTGTGTGTGTGTCTATTGAAGGCCTTAAAACCTCATGAAACAGGCCAATGTAATTTATCAGTGACTTTATTGCTCTGCTATAGTTTAAACTTTGAGGCAGGTCTTTATTGTATGTACTTTGGATATATAATGCCGCACTATGTGACACACAACATGACCTGTAATTATTCTATTTTATAGTGTTATTCTTATACTTTTACTTTTGGAAACGATCTGCTTACTTGCCTGTGTCGTGATTAGCTACAAACATTCTCTCCAAAATGTGTTGAATCTTGTAAATCTGCTGCTGCAAACACCAGTTGGCTGATTTTCAATCTCTACCGTTACAGCTGTTGCTGCTGGAAGTGGCTGTAACTATACAAACAGGCACCTGGGAAACAACTCTGTGAGGATTGAAATCTATTTCTGTCTTTCTCTCTCTAATGATGCATGTCGACTCCCTGCATGAGTCACTGCAGATCTCAGCCACACATGACTCTCCATCACCACCATATAAAACACATCAGTAAAGACAATGGACTGACTTAATATTCAGAGAAGCGAATGAAGGGTTAAGATAAAGGTGTCATCCTGGATATCATTTTTCACACATGCATTGACTGAGAACTTGAGATCAGTCATTAAGAGTGTGAAGACTCCCTAAACTAACGATAAGAATAGACACGGAAACATTGGGAAACATTGCACCCTGGAGGAAGTCCTCATTTACTACAGACCAATCTCTAATATTAACTTGGGTTTGGCCTTTTTTTGGTACCTGCAAGATAAAGTGTGACTGTAGGTGAATATGTAGTTTCATTCACTCCAGAGGCCACCGTGGTAGTTGTTGTTGGTCATATGCTGATCAATAATTACATGCAGAGTCACAAGATACTTTTTTTTTTCTGGTTGAGAAGTGGGAACAAAGTTGAAAAAGGACAAACTTCAGTAATATTCAGTTATCAGGTTGAGAAAAGCAAAGGAACAATTAATTCAGCTATAAGTGTAGTTATAAAGATAGATTTTAAAGTTCCTTTGTGATCATGTAGGACGTTTGTGTGGCTGTCCGGTGTGTGTCTGTGTCTGTGTCTGTGCTGCATGGTAGTGTTAGCTTCTGTTTAACCTGTATAGAAGTAGGTGAGGTTTTGTTACATGTGCGATGTCTGTATGTGCACACAGAGCGTTGGCTATAAGGCCACTGTGTGCTCTTCACACCGGCCTGCTGAGTCCGCTCATCCCTTTGTCACGTCTGAGCTGCTGCTGCTAACATCAGCAAAACACACACACACACACACACACACACACACACACACACACACAGGGACACAGGGACACACAGGGACTCACATGGACATATGCACCAGTCCTGTGTCACATTCTCACCTAAACAAAACCCCTGTGATCAGGAATGTCCTCAAGAATATTTTGTTGTGATAGGATTTGTGATATGCTCACATCTCTCTCTCTCTCTCTCTCTCTAGATATACATATATATATATGTGTGTGTGTGTTTATGTGTGTGTGTGTTTGTGTGTTGTAGACACAATCCTGGAATTACAATCTCACACACACACACACACACACACAAAAAAAACTGACAGAGAGTCTGGGCAATGTGCTGACCTCAGTCTGTCATTCCTAAATGTTTATTGTTCAGTGCAGCTACAGAAGAGAGGTTGTAGTTCAGACTCTGTAAAATACTGGAGGATGTTTGGAATAAATGAAAGTGAGGAAATCAGACAGCCCAACAGAATAAACAGCAACAAACACATTGACTTCAGCCCCCTCGTCTTTCAGCGTATTCCGTGTCACGATAATGATGCATCCACTCGGCAACAGTATGAAAGTAGAGCTGCCAATTACAGCTCATCAGTCGATGCCAAAGCGACGCTGTTGCTGCCAATGAGGCCTTTCAATCGCTGCCATCGCCCCCTGCTCACCTTCATTGATGATTTATTCACTTGTAAAGGTTTTCCAATGATAGCGGCAGATACTTTCATTCACATTTTAACCACAAAGTATATGACAAATGCATTACAATGACTTCTGCTGGTGTTGAATCAGTTGCCAACAAGCTTGTAGTTTTTTTAAGATCAATAAAGCAGCTTAATAAGATTTCCAACACGGCCACCATCTTTCTTTCTTTTAAATTTCATACATTTTATTAAAGTCATTTGTCCTGGAATCATTGCTCTCGGTATTCATGTTTCAGGAAATCACAGAGCCGAGACGAAAAAGTCATCCGAGTCTTTTCAAACAGGGAGAGGACGTCTGAGGCACATGTTTTAATGAGCAGGGACACTGGACTGTTAGAAAGTAGGTTACTATACAAGCAATACACAACACAAACAGTTAAACAACAAATTAAATACAACCTATATCCTGACACAAGTATTTTACATATTATGGATTATTGTATGATGTTATTGTTTATATTTTTAATAAATGGAATTTACTGTCATTGAGTGGCCTTTACACTTATCAAACAAATCATGTAAAATAATTTAGTACATTTTACAGTGATTTTACAAGTGATAGATCAAGCAACAATGAAAAGTGTTAGACAAGGATAAGTCAGCTCAGCAATGCACACAAGAGCAATAATCATAGAAAATATAAAGCAAGAAAGGGAGAGAAGACATTTAACTAATCTGCGTCAAAATAAAGTAAAGTAAAATCACAATGTTATTTTAAAAGTGATTCAAAGCAGAGTCCCCCCCCCCCCCAACATATACAGTAGATTTACCACGGAGACATAAGTAATGCAATATGGACGTTCAGCCGCATTGTGCTCGCATGAATCATTGTGCGTCTGTGTGTCAACCCCTCTGTGTTGCACACAAAAAAACAATGGAGTCCAAAGCAAAGTGCTGACATGAGTCCAGGCTCGCCCGCCCCCACCGGCCCCCATGGGTGTATATATACTCCCATATACACCGTCTCTGCAGACCATTCAGTGGAACCCTGCGACACACAGCTCACCAGTTTAGGTAGGTCAAACTAGTTCAAGTTAATAATACAGTACAGTTTCCCAATCTATAGAAATGATGGAGTATGAGCCTTTAATTCAATGTGCTTAGTAACGACAGGAAGTTTAAATTGAGCGAGTGAAGACAGAGGGACTTTTTTTTTACCTTTACTGCTAAATAGACGGTGAAAACAAATGAAGGCAAGAAAATGGAAGGTTTTGAGTTTATACTGATGGATTTTGTTGGAGTTAATTGCTCAACACAGAAAACTGTGAAGTATAAGAATCAGAGAAATCTAAAAGTATCAGATTGAAAGATTTAGATAATCGAGATAAAGGAAGTTTTGTGTTCTGGTGATTTTCCCTATCCCTTGAATATGTGCGTTTCTCTACAGGTACTACTGAAAAAGAGGAGAAAATGGCTCTGACAAACCCCATGCCCATGGGCCCTTGGAAGGTAAGCATATGAAATACTACATTACCCATGAGCACATGGAGCAGGAAGAAGTTTCAGAGCACGACGAGGCACAGTAGTGTTCCAGCTCTGTTTATTTACTGTTTTCAAATCTGACCAGACTGTGAAGATCTAATCTCCTGTGTCATTCTTTGGTGCTTCACAGATCACCGTGTACGACCAGGAGCACTTCCAGGGAAGGCGTATGGAGTTCACCGCCAGCTGCCAGAACATCATGGAGTGTGGGATGGAGAACATCCGCTCCCTGAAGGTCGAGTGTGGCGCGTACGTATCAGGCTTCTCCTCACTTTTGGAAATACCAGAGCAGATTTTAAAACTGAAAAAGACGTGTTGAGGAGCTTCAAAGTGTGAGTTAAGTTTGTATTTCCTTGCAGTCTGACTTGATCAATTCCACTTTCTTCTTGCAGCTGGGTGGGCTACGAGCACTCCAGCTTCTGCGGCCAGCAGTTTGTGCTGGAGAAGGGAGACTACCCTCGCATTGAGGCCTACAGTGGCAGTAACTCCTACCGCATTGAGAGGATGATCTCCTTCAGGCCCATCTGCAGTGCTGTAAGTCTAATGAGCCACACAGAAACAGCCCTGAGCTTACTTTGCTCTGAGCTTTATCTCAACATGTTTTAAATGTCCTTCTCCTCCTTCGCACAGAACCACAAGGACTCCCGCATGACCATCTTCGAGATGGAGAATCTGACAGGCCGTCAGTTTGAGCTGTCTGACGACTACCCCTCCCTGCAGGCCATGGGCTGGATGAACAAAGAGGTTGCATCCATGCACATTCAGAGTGGAGCGTAAGTCCCACAACATGACATTTGATGTAGTTTTGCAAAACTTAGCATCAGCTATAAACATATGCTGACTGAAAATACTGCACAAGAATCCACTTTTGGTTATTTATATCACTATCTTATCTTATCTCTCGTTTTCATCTTCAGATTCGTGTGCTACCAGTACCCTGGATACCGTGGCCACCAGTACATCCTGGAGAGTGATTTGCGTGGAGGCGAGTACAAGTGTTGCCGTGAGTTCGGCTCCCACGCCCAAACCCCCCAGATCCAGTCCATCAGGAGGATCCAGCACTGAGAGGGAAGCGTGTCTTTTACTCTTCCTCATCACCTCTTCATCTTCCTTCTCCTCTCCCTCTACCTGAAATTCCATCCCTTGCTCCGTTCCTCCTCTCCCCCCCGACCTCCATCTCTCCGGCTCCAGTGGTCCGACAAGTCAGAGCAGGATTCCAAGCTGGTCTTCAGGTGCTTACTGATGTCAGTTGTTCACAGCACTTTTTGTTTTTTGAAGAAACATCACAAAAAGAAAGGAACAATGTGAGAAAGACAGAAAATCGGAATGACAGAAAGAGGAAATTGAACTAGCGTGCAAGCAAGGCCTCGTGTGCTGAGGTCGGCTGCTGAGCGGTGAAAAAACCTCAAAGCTTTTGCTCTTTTTCATCTCGGCCATTGATGGCATCATCATCATTGTCACTGTCTTCTGCATCAACACAACAACCAGTGATACCTGTGATATCCAAGACTGCCTGTGTTCAAGACGATGAATAAAGAGAATGAGCAAAGAAAGTGAGAGATTCACAACACTGACATGTACCTCAATCACTTCTGTGTCTTGTCTTTCTCTGGTGAACTCAAAATAATCAATGTGACAAACATGAACTTATCAGGTGAATCCAAAGGGTAAAAACTGGTATGAATGAGAATGAACCTCATTAAACCCTGAAACACTGACCTGTCAGGATTTTTCCAAACTACAATATTATCACTTAATTTCATTTTTATTATTAGATGCAGTWGTAAAYAWMATCTTCTTAATATAAAAATTAACTGTGATATATAGTCAGTGTAGCCCAGAAAAAAGTAAAAGTATGATATTTCCCAGTTAAATGTAGAGAGGTTAGAAAAATAGAATAAACAGATTCAACTATTTGAGCTGTCAAAGTCATTTTTAATATAAATTGCATGGTCTGCAGCTTTTATTTTTATACTTTAACTGTCTTATTTTCAATCACTTTAAGTGTTGGACGACAAGAGTCATTTTTATCTGTTTTTCATTTTGTGCTGCAGCTAGTTTTGATGTGCAGTTTACATCTCAGCCAGATTTTAATAATGACAGTAAAGTAATGACCCACGGTCTTGAAAAGCAGCATTTTGCTGCACGCACTTTTACATTTCATGCTTTAAATACATTTTTCTGATTAAACTTCACATTTTAATTTAGGGATATTTTGAATCTGGGTTTTGAACTTGTTTGTTAAAATCCATCTTATATTCAGTTCAGTACACCCTGCACTTGCATACAAAGCCCACTAGAGGCCGCTGTGGTGAGTTATGAACTTTGCGACAGTAGTTTCTCGTTGGCGGCTGACGGTGACATGTCAGTAAACAAACATGGCGGCCAGCAGCGACTATTGGGAAGGTAAGTTGTGTTACAGCGTCTGATTTTAAAACAACAGCGTGTACACGTGTCGTGTTGTTTTTCACCGGCTCAGCGCAAACACTCTCACATGTTTCCGTCATTTGTTTCGTTAAATAAACGTGATGGCGGCGGAGAGGAGGGTTAGTTAGCTGCTAACCTGTTAGCTTGTTGGTTGTTGTCGGAAGTTTTCACCTGCACGACGGATTATCAGAGAAGGGACCCCGGGTATGGAAAGGTGGAAACCCCGAGACCCTCCATAGAGAGGCCCCCCAGACTGAAAGAGACGCTTTTGTCTATTTTCAACCTCTTTGTATTTGTTGTGTTCATCTTGTGTCTCTTTGTGGTTGTTTTCATCATCTTTGTATTTGTTATGTTCATCTTGTGTCTCTTTGTGGTTGTTTTCATCATCTTTGTATTTCTTGTGTTCATCTTGTGTCTCTTTGTGGTAGTTTTACATGTCTCTGTGTTCATTTGTGGTAGTTTTAAGTGTCTCTGTGGTAGTTTTCTTCAGCTTTGTGTCCATCTTGTCTCTTTGTGGTAGTTTTAAGTGTCTCTGTGGTAGTTT